AGATAAGCACTGCAGTAAATGAATTACCTTCGGCCTTGGTAAATAGTGAATAGTCAGCCTTTGATTGTTGATAACCATCCTTTTGTACACTATCTGAAAAGTTGGAAAATCAGTTTCTAGAGGCCTGTTTGAGTCCATAAAGGGATTTATTGAGCCGACATACAATGTTCTCCTCCTGTCGGCGAAGACCAGAAGGAGGCTCCATGTAAACCACTTCGTGTAAATCTCCGTGAAGGAAAGCATTTTGGATGTCCAACTGGTGGATGAACTAATTGCGGGCAGCAGCAACAGTAATGAGACATCGGAGAGTGGTGAGTTTTGCGGTGGGGGAAAAGGTCTCTTGGTAATCAATGCCCTCAACCTGAGTGTAGCCCTTAGCAACTAGCCGAGCTTTGTATCGTTCAATGGTGCCATCAGACTTGTATTTGATTTTGTAGACCTATTTGCATCCAATCGGTTTATGACCAACGGGTAAAGGAACCATACTCCATGTGTTATTTTGCTGCAAGGCCTCTAATTCTGCATGTATGGCATGTCGCCAATTTGGATCATGGATAGCTTGTGCATATGAGGTGGGCTCGGTGGTACCTGTAATGTTAGCTAGAAAAGCACAATGGGCAGAAGAAAAGCGAGAGTAAGAAAGAAAATGAGAAAGGGGATATCGAGTACCTGAAGAACGAGGCGTCGAGGCAGAATGATTGACTTGGTTGGACATGTGGCAGTCGCTATGCCATGCCGGAGGGTGTTTGGGACGAAGGGACTGACGCGAAGGTGGTATAGATTATGTGGGTTGAAGTGTTTGCTCGGAAGAGGATGAAGGGAGATGAGTTGGGTTGACCGAGTGTGAGGGGACTTCAGAGGGTGCGGAAGAAGTGGATTGGGGGGACATGGGTGAATCGTGATGGGTTAACGAATGTATGTTGGGATTATTTGGTAGGGGAAGGGTGATGGAATTATCGAGTAAGGTAGGTAGGATATGATGATGTGGTGCTTGGAGTAACGGGCTGGCAGGTGGGGTAAGGTTAACTGGTGGGTTAGACACATGGTCGTGTGTGTCTGGCACATGGGGGTGTAAGTTAGGTGAGTGCTCTGGTGAATTTGGCAAGTGGGTTGGTTGATTGATAGTGGGAAAGGGAAGTGAGGATGGCCCATTGTCAGTGATGTTAGGAAATGATGAGGGGAACACAAAATTGAGATTGGGTGGTGTAGAAATAGAGGTGATTGGAGTAACGGGCTGGCAGGTGGGGTAAGGTTAACTGGTGGGTTAGACACATGGTCGTGTGTGTCTGGCACATGGGGGTGTAAGTTAGGTGAGTGCTCTAGTGAATTTGGCAAGTGGGTTGGTTGATTGATAGTGGGAAAGGGAAGTGAGGATGGCCCATTGTCAGTGATGTTAGGAAATGATGAGGGGAACACAAAATTGAGATTGGGTGGTGTAGAAATAGATGAGAAATGGAAAATGGTTTCATAAAATTTGACATCACGACTTACAAAAAACTTGTGGGTCTCCAAATTGTAAAGTTTGTAGCCTTTTTGACCAGTGGGGAATCCAACAAAGATGCAGCGTTTGGCACGGGGATCAAATTTTTGAGTAAGATGAACAACAGTTGCATATCATAAACAACCAAAGACTTTCAGGTGATCAAATGATGGTGGCCGGTTATATAACAACTCAAAAGGTGACTTGGTGGATAAAAGTGGTGATGGTAGGCGGTTAATTAGGTAGACAGCGGTTAAGACACATTCTCCCCAGAAAGAAAGAGGTAAGTGAGATTGGAATAATAAGGCTCGTGCAACGGTGAGAATATGCCGATGTTTGCGTTCGGCAACTCCGTTTTGTTGTGGAGTGTAAACACATGTGCATTTATATTCAATTCCATTAGTTTGAAAAAAATCTCTCATGGAAAAAAAACTTAGACCCATTGTCAACTCTGATGGCTTTAATTTGGGCATAGAATTGAGTACAAGCAAAAACAACAAAAGATTTTAAAAGATGTTGAGTTTCAGACTTATGTTGCATCAAAAATACCCATGTGCATCTTGTGAAATCATCCACAATGGTAAGAAAGAAACGTGCCCCTGAATGTGTGGGAACTTTGTGTGGACCCCAAATATCACAATGTAACAAATCGAATGGAGCATGTGTTGATATAGAACTTAAAGGAAATGGAAGTCGTGTTTGTTTGGCCATGGGACAAATACTGCAATTATCATCAAAAGAAATATTTTTTGAAGTTAGGAATGGAGTCACCAATTTGAGACGAGAAGAAGACGGATGACCAAGTCGCATATGCCACAAACTGGTGGGGTGCGAAACTTGATTTGAGACAGGTGTTCTCTGTAATGGAGACATGTAGTAGAGACCACCACATTGTTTAGCCGAGCCAATTATCTTCCCTGCCAAGTCCTGCAAGACACAGAAAGTGGGAAACAAAAGGACACAACAGTTTAAAGAATTAGTGACTTTACTGGCAGACATGAGATTTAAGCGGAAAGAAGGAACACATAAAACTTTGTCTAAGTTAATGTCTGAGTTTAAAGGTACGGTGCCAGTGGAAGTGATTGGGACTGTGGATCCAGTAGGTAAATTAACAGTGGGTATTGGGCAAGATTCTGTCTTAGTGAAAAGTGTAGAATCAGAAGTGATGTGGTCAGTGGCTCCGCTATCCAAAATCCAAAGTTTAGTGAAGGCAGAATTAATTGAGACATCTGTAGAAGATGACAAACCTGAAGCATTTGCATAAGAATTGTTATTACCAAAGACACGGTTTGCATTCATTATAGATATGGCTTGAGCAGGTTGTTGAAGCTCCTTTGCAGAAGGCCTATTTGATGGGTTCGGTTGAGAAGACTGTGAATTGTAGCTTCAACAACCTGCTCATGCCATATCTATAATGAATGCATCTTGGAGACTACGAGAAGTGGCTTCAGAAGACCATGCCCCCAACACGATAAGGATCAACGCCAAACAAACACAACCCTGCAGCCGGCTAATGAACTCCATGGTAGCAAGTTGGGATTTGGTAAAGAAGAGGAATTAATGAGCAAGTATACAAAAAAGTAGACTGCTCCGCAGTTTGTATAGAGAATCGCCTTGCCATCTCCTTGGCCCAAAAATTAATCCACATGCTATTCTTCGTGCCCCATAAAATGTTCTGATATGGACCTGTATGATATATTAAATCATAAATGACTACTGGCATAGCTTACTATAAGTTATTAGCCATCCCAATGTCCTTATTATTAATAAAATAAAAATTAAACATTGTCGTTTACCATAAAATAAAAAAGAAGCCATTGTAATAACTTGGTTGACAGTAAACTTGTTATTTCCAATAAATTTAACACTGATAAATTATTATTATTATTTTCTTGGTTGAAAATTTTGGTTTTCTTGGCTTTGATAAATCTGTGTCATTTTTTGAATTTCAAGAACTTGCAACATTGGAAAAGGTTACCCGTTTCATGTAAGTTGCTCTCTTTTTTATTTTTTTGGGGTTTGAGGTGTATTTTATTCCTGCGCGATTTGGTGAAGCCTGTGACCTCAAAGTTGCGACCTGAATTCATAATAGTAGAGAGATGCATACAAAAATGACGCGGCCTGGCTTTATAATATGTACACCTGAATTTTCTTTTGACTCAAATCAGGATCATGGAAGCCAAAGACAAAATCGACATCAAAATTATATTTATAACAGAACCACAATCAATAGAAGATACTGCATGCATGCGGACCTGGGTCAGCTGCAATTGGTCCGCTGGCAATTGAAGTCATTGGTGCATTGGATACTGGTGGTGCGGCTGCAATGCTTCTAGATGGAGTGTCTCCTACCTCTGGCGCGGCTGCAATGCTGCTAGTTGGAGCCTTGGTGCCCCAGATCCCGACGTACCTAGGTTTGAAGAAGGTGATGGATGGTGTTGGTGCAGTTAAGCTCAAAGGCAATCTTAGGTTGCTAATTTGCAGCACTGCAATGTAAGAACTTTCATCAGCGGCAACATCTCGAACTACGACAGCTTGGTTACACTCTCATTAGTGTGAAGTGGTGCACAAGATTTGATTAGTGTGAAGTAAGTTTGTTTTGTTTTGTTTTTTTTATGATTGAAAAGAATGAAAGAGAGGGATTGTGATATTCTCATTAAAATATACAGGATTTAGGTAGTGCACTGATGAAAATATACAAGATTTAGGTTGGTAACCAATATAATTTAACTTTTCAAAAAAACTTAGAACTGTTTTAAAGTTATTTGATGACTTATTTTAGATTTCGTTTTCAGTGGATGTTATAAAGAATTCATAGTATTTTTTAGTGAATTTTTTGGAGTTAAGATGAAGTTTGTGTAGGTCGTCTTGAGGTTCGTATTGGGTCTGCAGCGGAACACAAGAGTCAACAGCCGTGTCCAAGTCGAGAGGTTCCAAATAGAAAAAGTGCACATAAAAACTTAAAACATTGAAATGAAATGATCATCAAACGGGCCATTTAATTATATATTCTGAAGAAAAAAATATATATTGATTACTCTTGAATTGAATAGATGTGGAATTTCATTAATGTAAAATTGATGAGTTGGGAATGATTTTACGATTTGGAATTAACAAAAAAAATTTATCAGCTGTGTAAAATTGAGATGAATGGATGTGGGATCATCGAATTAACAGCTGATGTCCTCTAAAAATTTGGTCTCTCTAGTCTAGTGCCGTCGTTTGAGTAATTGACATCTATTTTTAGGCAAGAAAGTGCGAATACATTGTCAACTGGGACTGACTGATCTTTCTACAAACCTATAGGAAATCAACTCCACCATCCATTTCTTCCACCATTTTCAACCAAACAATAAAAAAAGTTCCTGCATATTTGGCGGCACGAAGACTTACTCTTTTCCTCAAACACATATAAAGAGATGCCTCTTCGATCCATTGGGACGCAGGCACCTCTCTCATTCTTTCTTTGTTTGTCTCTACCTTTTAATCAACACATATATAGATATCAATTGATATCAAGATGTATTTTATCAGGCTCAACACACCCATTACTTATATCTTCCTCTCTTTCTTTTTCGTCTTCTTTTCTTCATCGTCTGCTTTCAACATCACTGAAGTTCTAAACAAGTACCCGGACTTCAGCATCTTCAACGACTACCTGACCCGAACCCAAGTTTCCAGGCAGATCAATGAGCACCGAGTCGTGACGATTCTCGCGGTCAACAATGCCGCCATGTCCTCATTAATAGGAAAATCAATGGACCTCATCAACAAAGTGATGCGCATCCACGTATTTTTGGACTACTATACCCTCAATAAGTTGAAGAACTTGCCATCTTCGCAGCCTTCCCAAGTGACCACACTGCTGGAATCTCCTGACCAACAACGCTACTTGAACATCACAAATGTTGGCACCGTCTCAATTGTTTCGGGTGCTGGTTCTGAGAAAGTAGGTGTCCTTCGAGATATGTATCCTGACGACATTTATAAGACATCAATTGTGGAAGTTAGCAATGTAATTATGCCTTCAAGCTTGTTAACTACTTCACCCTCATCACCATCACCTTCTCCACCATCTTCAGTGCCTTCTCCGCCTTCATGAGTACCTCCTTCTCCGCCATCTTCGGTACCTTCTCCGCCCTCATCAGTTCCTTCTTCATCCACTTTCAACATCACCAAAATTCTATTCGACTATCCAGATTTCACCACATTCAATACCTACCTCACCGACACCCAAGTTTGTGACCAAATCAATGCAGGTTCCTCCGTCACGGTCCTTGCAGTTAACAATGCCGTGTGGGACTCCTCTTGCTTTGCTTAGAGTTTCTTCTAGTTGCTTGGTCAGTTATGGTGTCAACAGCCGACATTAAGAAGAAGGTGCTAAGCCTCCATGTTATTGCAGGCTACTATACCCTCAACAAATTCAGGAGCTTGCCAAATTCGCAAACAACCCAACTGAACACAATGCTCCAAGCTTCTTTCCAATCAGTAGGCTTTCAAGGCTTGTTGAACGTCACAAATGGGGACACCGTCTCGCTTGTTTCCGCTTCCGGTTCTGAAAAAGCACAGCTAGTTAAAGATATATACACTGATGATTTCAAAATATCAGTCGTTGAAATTAGCAGTCTAATTTTTCCTTCAGACTCACCAACTTCACCGCCTTCATCTCCTTCTGCATCCCCTCCTTGTGCATCCACTTCATCGCCTCCTTCATCCACACCTTCTTCATCATCTCCCTTTGACATCACCAGAACTATAACCGGAAGCCCTGATTTCAACCTCTTTAACACCTACCTTACTCAAACCCAAGTAGCTAACCAGATCAATGAACGTAAAACCATGACAATCTTCGTGGTCAACAACGGTGCCATGACCTATTTAGTAGACAAACCAATGGAGATTAAGAAAAAGGTTTTGAGTCTCCATGTTATCATGGACTACTATACCGTCCAAAAGTTCCACAACTTGCCGGTTTCTCAGCCCACTCGAATAAACACACTGCTCCAAGTTACTGACCAGCCAAGTGCCCAACAAGGCTTTGTGAACGTCACAAATGGGGACACCATCTCGATTGTTTCAGCTGCTGGTTCAGACCAAGCAGTCGTAGTTCGAGATATTGCTGCTGATGAAAGTTCTTACATATCAGTAGTGCAAATTAGTAATCTAATATTGCCTTCAAGCTTAACTGCACCAACCCCATCACCTTCTTCAAACCCAGGTAAGTTGCGATCTGCAGCGCCAGTCAAGGCTCCAAATAGCAGCATTGCAGCCGCACCAAAGGTAGGAGACACTACATCTAGCAGCATTGCAGCCGCACCAGTATCCAATGCACCAATGACTTCAATTGCCAGCGGACCAATTGGAGCTGCCCCAGCTCTGCATGCATCTGCAGTCTCTTCTATTGATTGTGCTTCTATTGTAACTATGATTTTGGTATCGGCTTTTTCTCTGGCTTCTGTGATCCTGATTTTGAGTCATAAGAAAAGTCAGGTTTGCATATTATAAAGCCAGGCTCCATCATTTTTGTATGCATCTCTACTATTATAAATTCAGGTTACAACTTTGAGTTCGTAGAGTTTACCAAAACAAGCAAGAAAAAAATACACCTCAAACCAAAACAAAAAAGAGCAACTTAAATGAAACTGGCAACCTTTTCCAATGTTGGAAGATGTCATATCACGAGCTCCAGTTTCCTCCCCAATTGATCAAAAAGAAAAATGGTGTAAGCGAGATGCTTTTTGCATTTGTAGCCAAGTTGAGTTTTGCATTTTAAGAAGGGAACCCAACGATTTGGAAGAAATTTAATCATCAACATTTCAATCTTTTGGGGGACCTTCCCGTCCTTTCCTTACTCATAATGATTCTGCAAGAAAACAATAACATAATAAAAATTTCAAAATCGAAAAGAGAGAGAGAGAGAGAGAGAGAGAGAGAGAGAGAGAGAAGGTCTTTGTTGAAATGTATGCATGTCACATGCCTCACCATATGAGGTGTGATGTGTGTTGCTCTGATATACCACTTGTTGGTTTATGTGGTGAAGGGGTTTAGGACAATAAGACAATAGTTGAAACAAAGTAATTTTATTATATTGGAGTACATAGCTTGGTGTTGGCCTCTTTCTTAGCTTATTTTGGCTTATTGGCCACCACACTTGATTTAGAATAATTTGCGCTATTTGGCCCTTCACTTAGATTGGTGAGCTTATTGGCTCCTCAACATAGCTTTGTTTGGGTAGCTCTTGGCTCCCTAGTTTGGGAGTTCTTTTCATTGGACTCTACATAGATTGGGAGTTGGTGGATGACTCCAACTTATATGATTACAACTATGCCTATTTATAGGCTTTGATTGCCGACATACACAGCCACCGACTTGGGCTCTTCATAGCTTAGCCACATATGTGTCTTATACTAGAATGTTCTTTAAACTTCAATTGCTTTTGTTTCGTTGTTCCACCGCCTTGAGCATTCAGCCACTGCTAGCTTGTTCTAGAATTGTGTAGAACACAAATGAGCATTATTTTTTCAACATCCATAAACGAGAAGGAACTTGTTAGAACATTCGATCAAGAGAAAATGCAATGGAAAGTTAGAGGCCCATTGTAAAGAGTTCCACCAATTAACTTATAATTTTGTAACTGCTACCATTCACACGAACATTTGAAGGATTTGTGTTTTGTTCTAGTTTCCTATTATGCAAGTTTGGAAGTACCAATTTCTAAGGTTTTTGTCCTTTTAAAACGAGCATTTCGTTTTACAAAATTCGATGAAGCGAAATTTCTAGAAATTAACACTCGTATACTGTTCAATTATTTTTGCAATTTTTGCAATTAATACATGCATCTTCTTGCTATATTCAATTACAATTAGGGAAGGATTTTCCTTTAGTTCAACAACTTTTAATTTCCTCATCGTTTTATCACTCAACTTTTATCTCATTGGAATTATCTTTTTCTAGCTACATTTATTTGGGGAAAAAAAAATATTCTCTGGAATATTCGATCACGTGAAATGACAAGAAATTTTAAAACTGTGTCAGAAGCCGTTTCGGTTAGCTTTAAATTTTTCAGAGAAGCCATTTCGGTTAGCTTTAAACTGTGTCAGAATTGCTACATCTGTGGTTTTTGTAACTTCACGTGAAACCAGTGAACAATTTGTCTGTAGTTAATCAAGCCTTGATCCACCATTGATTTTATCGACCAAGTTTTTTCTTATAAATACCTTTCTGCCCAACCTTCTTTCCAAATATTGTACATAGCTCGTATGTTCATAGTTTCTTCCTTTGATCATGGTTACCAGTTTAGAACTGGAGAATCTGATCTTATATTTTAGTGGGAGGAGGAAGAAGTGGAGAAAGAGGGGAAGGGAAAAACAAAAGGGGAGAGGTAAGCTTGAGAGGCTGTTAAATATACTTAGATTAAGAAACTTATCTTATTGTAGAAATGCGTGGCATGGGAGAAATGGGAATTTGAGAGATGCCCTGGTAAGACAAGGCACCTAAGAAGGCATTTCCATTGGAAAATCTAGCCGCCCTCTTTGAAGGGTTTCGCGGTGCAGTTTCCACAGGCATCAAAGGTTTTGTGTTGGCCATTTTTGCAGAGGTGACAACAGGCTTGATGTCCCTACTACTGGTGGTGCCCTTCCTGCATGGAATTTACACAAGTTCATATCTTTGAGGAAGAATGGACGATACAAGAGTTGAATTCAAGTGAATGTCACAGGTCAAAGCAAACTAAATACACAGAGAGTCTTAATTAGAAGGGATTTCAATCTGAAACTAGCAAATTGTCTCAAAATTAATGGTACTGCAGTCATGAATGTATTCTGTGGTAATCCTTGAAAGTACGTATATTCCTGTATATATTTGTATAAATATACACGCGTGTATGGCCATATAATGAATTCAGCATAGCACGAGGCAGAATTTTAGATATGTTATGTATTCTAAGAATCAGAAATCTTGCCTAACTTGTTTCAAGTGCCACATTATGCTGAACATAAAATCATGGGCAACACTTCTGTTTTGATCCTTTATTTACCTATTCATTGGTTTACCAGAAAACAAATTGGTAGGTATATAAAGGAAAATTTCTAGTATTTAGTTAATTTCTTAATGCAATTTCAGATTAAAAACTCTATCTGTCTACTATGTTAAAAAATAATAATAAAAAAATAAAAAAATAATTTTTACAATGAGTAGTTTAGATACTTGCAATTGAGTTAAGGAAATCTAGATATATGATGCATCAATTAGTCAATTCAATAAAGAAAAAAAAAACAACATACATTATTATTTTATTTTTCGTTTCGTATTATATTAAACCATACATACGTATCAAAGTCGTAATTTTTTTTTCTTCTCATATTTTCATGTATATACATATGTATTTTGATCAATCTATCTTCAAACAAAAAAAATGACACATCAATCTGTGATAACATGTAAGCCGCTGATGTCCTCCAAAACAATGGTGTAGTTTCTGAGATAACATCTATTTTTAGGCATTAAGTACGAATACCAATACTAGGACTGAATCTTGTGACAAACTTAGAAATCAAATTCAACATCTAAAATCTATTTTAAGACATTAAGTGGGAGGAAGTGCGAATACATTGTCAACTGGGACTGACTCTTCATACAAACTTAGAAATCAACTTTACCATTCATCTTTCTGCATCATTTTCAACCAATGAAAACATGTTCCTGCAAATCTGGCAGGACGAAGACTTGCTCTTCCTCAAACACATATAAATAGATGCCTTTTGAATCCACTCCAACACAGACCCCTCTCCCATTCCTTGCCTGATCTTTTGCTTCTCTGTCAAATCAAGATGCATCTTACCAGGCTCAACGCACCCGTTACTTATTTCTTGCTCTCTTTCTTTTTTGTTTTCTTTTCTTCATCGACTGCTTACAACATCACCGAAGTTCTAAACAAGTACCCTGATTTCAGCATCTTCAATGACTACCTCACCAGAACCAAAGTTTCTAACCAGATCAATGAACACAGAATTATGACGGTCCTCGTGGTCAACAATGCGGCCATGTCATCTTTAGTAGGAAAATCAATAGACGTGATCAACAAGGTGATGCGCATCCACGTATTTCTGGACTACTATACCCTCAGTAAGTTCAAGAGCTTGCCTACTTCACAGCCTGCCCAACTGACCACACTGTTTGAATCTCCTGACCAACACCGCTACCTGAACGTCACAAATGGGGGCACCGTCTCAATTGTTTCCGCTGCTGGTTCGGAGAAAGTAGAGGTAGTTCGAGATATTTCTCCTGACGACATTTATAAGACATCAATTGTGGAAGTGAGCAATGTAATTCTACCTTCAACCATAAGTACTTCTCCATCATCACCATCTCCGACAGTAGCGTCGTCACCTTCTCCAACAGTAGCGTCATCACCTTCAACACATTCTACATCACCTTCTCCATCACCTTCTCCATCAGTACCTTCCCCATCCCCATCTTCTTCATCATCTGCTTTCAATATCACCCAAATTCTAAACAAGTACCCAGAATTCAGCATATTCAATGACTACCTGACACGAACTCAAGTTTCTAACCAGATCAATGAACGCAGAACCCTCACGATCCTCGTGGCCAACAATGAAGCCATGTCCTCATTAGTAGGACAACCAATGGACGTCATTAGAAAGGTGTTGAGCCTCCAGGTAGTCCTGGACTACTATAACGTCCAAAAGTTCCACAACTTGCCTGTTTCGAAGCCCACTCGAATAATCACACTGCTCGAAGCTGCTGACAAACCAAGTGGCCAACAAGGCTTTGTGAACATCACAAACGGGGACACTATCTCGATTGTTTCAGGTGCTGGTTCTGACCAAGCACTAGTAGTTCGAGATGTTGCTGCTGATGAGCTTTCTACTATATCAGTGGTGCAAATTAACAAGGTAATAGTGCCTTCAGGCTTAACTTCACCACCCTCTTTATCACCTTCTCCATCAATACCTTCATCACCTTCTTCCTCAATTTTCAACATCACCAAAATTCTAAACAATTATCCAGAATTCAGCCAATTCAATGCCTACCTGACCGACACCCAAGTTTGTGACCAGATCAATGCACGTACAACTGTCACGGTTCTTGTTGTCAACAATGCCGCCATGTCTTCCTTAGTAGGAAAATCAACTGAGATTAAGAAAAGGGTACTAAGCCTCCACGTTATTACGGATTACTATACCTCTCAAAGTTTCCACAACTTTCCTACTTCGAAGACCACCCAATTGACCACACTGCTCCAAGTTTCTTTTCAATCAAATGGGTTTCAAGGTTTGTTGAATGCCACAAGTGGGGATGCGGTCTCGATTGTTTCCGCTGCTGGTTCTGACAAAGTAGAAGTAGTTAAAGATATATTTACTGAGAATTTGAAAATATCAGTAGTGCAAATTAACAATCTAATTGTTCCTTCTGACTCAACTTCACCTTCTCCATCACCTTCTCCATCAGAGTCCTCTCCTTCAGTACCTTCTTCATCAGCTCCTTCTTCATCAGCTGCTTTTGACATCACCAAAATTCTAAGCAGCAACTCAGATTTCAACCTCTTCAACAACTACCTGACCCAAACCCAAGTTGCTAACCAGATCAATGAACACAAAACCATGACACTCTTCGTGGTCAACAATGGCGACATGACCTCATTAGTAGACAAACCAATGGAGATTAAGAAAAAGGTCTTAAGCCTCCACGTTATCATGGACTATTATACTGTCCAAAAGTTCCATAACTTGCCTGTTTCGCAGCCCACTCGAATAAACACACTGCTCCAAGTTACTGATGAACCAAGTGGCCAACAAGGCTTCGTGAACGTTACAAATGGTGACACAATCTCAATTGTTTCAGCTGCGGGTTCTGACCAAGCAGTGGTTGTTCGAGATGTTGCTGATAAAACTAATACCATATCAGTGGTGCAAATTAGCAATCTAATACTGCCTTCAGGCTTAATTGCACCGACTTCATCACCTTCTCCATCAAATTCTTCAAACCCAGGTAAGTCGCGAGCTGCCGCACCAGTCCAGGTTCCATCTAGAAGCATTGCATCCGCACCAAACCTGGGCGGCGCACCATTGCCAAATGCACCAAACATGGGCAACGCACCATTGCCAAACGCACCAAACATGGGCAACGCACCATTGACAAACGCACCAAACCTGGCCAGTGCACCATTGCCAAACGCACCAAACATGGGCAGCGCACCATTGTCAAACACACCAACCATGGGAGTCGCACCAATATCCGACCCACCAATGAGTGTGGCTCTTTCACCTGAGTCACCATTGTCGAATGCATTTGCTGCAGGCCCACAGTCATCTGGGACTCCTGCAAGGTTTTCTATGAATTGTGCTTCTGTGCTAACCATAATTTTGGTGTCCACTTTGCCTCTAATTTCCGTGATACTGATTTGAGTTAGAAGAAGCATCAGGTTCATGACCACAGAATAAGGAAGAAGTGTCACATGGTAAAGTAGGTGATTTGATTTTTTGTTTTTGGTGTATGCAGCTTTCAGTTGTATTGTATTAATTAGTTTCTAGGGATGCAGTTAGTGTTTTTTAGTTGATGTACTCACTTTGGCTCTGTTTTGCAAGAACCAGACAACTTTAGCAATAAAATTTCATCATTGCTTTTCATTGTCTTTCCCTTTTCTCTCTTCCTCTCCAAGGTTTTCAAATGGTATCAAAATCCAGAGCCATTAACTATTTGAATTTCTCATTTATATAAGACTTGGCCAAATTTTTGGTTAATTTCTTTATAAGATCCCCAGAATTCTTAAATAGTTTAATAAAATTAAAACAAGAAAGATTGTTGATTGCATCAATTAGTAATTATTTTATAAACGCTAAAGTGGAAGAAATCAAGTCCTTTACATTGTCAATTTCTAAGTCTATTGATTTCTGAAAAGACTTGGCTTCTGACTCTGCTATGGTGGCTTCCATGGCTTGAGAGGCTAACGCATCGATGACCGTCTCACTCGCACCAATTTGCGACTTGATTTCTTGCAACTCCAGCAAAAGTTGTGCTCGATCATACTCATCAGCTTCTATTTGTGCACGAAGTCTTTTCTCTCTTAGTTCTATCATCTCGAGCTCTTTGACGCTGGCCTCTACCTCACTAAGAAGAGCCATTTGTTTAGCCCTATGCGCCCGATATTTCTTCACAAGGTCAGCATGATCCACACCTTCATCAGGCACCTCTCAGAGCTTAAGAGCATTACCCAAAATTTTATCCAACCATTGCATTAGAGATAGACCAGTCGAAGCCAAGAAAGGCTTGATTTCAGAAGTTCTTTGAAGTAGGGTCCTCATTCTGATAAGCATATCCAAATTCTGAAGAACTTGGAAACCCGGAGTTTCCAGTTTGATCAGCATTTGGTCCAGTTCTGCTTTGATTGGCTTACAAGCCTCATCTGGGCTCTTGAAGTTCTGCAGAAATGCTCTCCCAGCTACACTATTATGCACAACAGTTATAGCAACTTCTTGAGTTGAACTACTAAGGTTTGGAGTTTTTGCACTTGAAGAGCTTTCTCCTTGGTTCAAGATTGGGAACAACACTTGACTCACTGCCGGACAAACTACTGGCTCAGCAGGAATTTCTACTTCTTTAGCTCCGGGAGTTTCTAGGGCAGCCACTGTTTTATTCACTTGATAAGACAAAGGCAACTATTGTCAACTTTTGCTTAATAAACCTCAAAATCAAAATCAAAGTAAACTTTGAATTACCTAAGGTAGGGTTTGCTTTGTCCCAGCCTCCACAATTGCCACAGGATCTACAGTCACTACAGCTTTCTGAAAATTATTTGTAGAAAAGAAGTTTTGTCAGTTTTCTTTGAGCCAACGAAATGAACAAAAGTCAAAATTTAGACTAAAGAGGAAACATATCTGAGTTGGAGATATGACTTGACTTTCCTCCACTTCATCTGGAGGCAAGATCAGCTTTCGCCTTTTTTCTCTCCTCTCCACTACTGATAGAACAAAGACAGAAGATTAGAAACACCTCAGAATCACCAAGGGGTGATGTGACCAAGAAGAAACAGTTTGTTCTTACCATCAATAGGCTCAAGATCAGGCAGACTTGACCCCATTCCCTGATCCGCCTCATCCTGGTTCATCACGGTCAAGTCTAGGGCTTAATGGATGGTGTCGGATCTTCTCCTTTTCTTGATAAGGGGAGCTTCTTCATCTTCTGGCAGTTCTTCTTCAATAATGGGAAATATCAGTGATCTCCCTAGAACTAAGCCCAATGAAGATTGAGAAGTAGACACTTGCATACTTGAGCTCTCCCCTTTATTAGAAACCTCAAACAAGGCTGCATCATAACCCAAAATGGAGATTTTCTGCTTCTGTGCTTCTGTGCTAACCATAATTTTGGTGTCCACTTTGCCTCTAATTTCCGTGATACTGATTTGAGTTAGAAGAAACATCAGGTTCATGACTATAAGGAAGAAAAGTCACATGGTAAAGTAGGTGATTTGATTTTTTGTTCTTGGTGTGTGCAGCTTTAAGTTGTATTGTATTAATTAGTTTCTAGGGATGCAGTTAGTGTTTTTTAGTTGATGTACTCACTTTGGCTCTGTTTTGCAAGAACCAGACAACTTTAGCAATAAAATTTCCTCATTGCTTTTCATTGTCTTTCCCTTTTCTCTCTTCCTCTCCAAGGTTTTCAAATAGTATCAGAATCCAGAGCCATTGTTGACACACATGATCTCAAAGTTCCCATAGGTCTAGCATTAGATCAATCTAAGATCAATTTTCTACTTTCCATACTAGTCATTTGATTAATTGAAATCAAATTTTGAAATTGATATTGAAAGATTAAATTTTTTATTTAGGGATTTAGGAATTACCTCTTATGGCTTGGTCTAATGGCTTACCAGAAGCTGCTACTCTGCTCAGCCACACCACAAAGATTTATATTCTGGTAAGAGGAATTTTGTCTATCGGCTAAAAACCAGAGACAGCCAAAACACCAGAAAAGAGTCAAATTTCAGTATCAAGTTTTATAAAAGTCCCAAAAATATATGTTCTTCCTTCCTCAACTCATTAGCCAGTAGCCACAAATCCCAATTTTTGTTTGCTGGCTTTAAGGGCTTTCTTTATCTTGTCGGGCCGAAGTTTCAAAAGGTTTGGCCCGGGGCTAGATGGGCTAGGCTGTCATGAGCCTAAACGGGTCGGCTTTTTATAAAAAATATTTATTTATTTATTAAATTTTTTTAAAATCTTTTTGTTACACATTTGTTTTGTCAAAAGAAGCTAACACAACGTACCATTGGCTCGACTTCAATGAAGGCGGTGGAACGACGATTGACGGCTAGGGGCGGGAGAGGTAGAGGTGGAGCAGAGAGAGAGATATGATGAGGAGTGTAGAGCAGAGAGAGACAGAGAGAGAGTGATGATGAGAGGGAGTTGCGGCTAGGGTTGAAACGAAGGAAGAAGAGAGAGAGGCTCGCGCAAGGGAGAGAGAATGGAGTCCGGGAGTATTAGTTTTGGAGTCCAATCAGGTGTGCTAGGGTACATGGTACACTTTCAACTAATCACTCAAGCCTTGCCACATGTAAACTAAATTAAACAAATAATAAATTGATTTATAATCGGTCTGGTTTGGTTTAGGACAGTTTTCAAACCTCCCAAACCGCAACCGAACCAAACCAAGCCGGTTCGGATCGGTTTTTCAAACTGTTGACTTTTTCTTTGGTCAAAACCAAACCAAACCAAACCAATATAATCGGTTCGGCCGGTGTAACCGGATCGGCCGGATTGATGCCCACCCCTACTTGTTTGTTACAAAATTTTAGACAACATTGAAAAAATTAAGTTAATTTATAACATATGTAATCAAAATAAGAAGTTTATTAGTTTATCATACATATCACAATATTTTGATTAAGTATAAAATGAGGTTAGGGAGTGCATAAATTAAATATTAAAGAAAAGAAGGGCATAGGCGGGCAGGTTAAGGGTTTTAAATCCTAAGCCCAACCCTTACCCAACCTTAGAGCGGTCCAATTCGAGCGGACGTAACCATCGAACCTCAGGCTACCCACTTTGGCCCGCAAGCCACGAGCTAAATGATGATCCCCAGTTGTCACTATTAATTTAAATATATTTTGTGAAGGAAAAAAACAAGTTCAAAATTTGAAAAATTCAATCCAGATCGATCAAAATAATAAAATGAATTTAATTTTAATCGGCCAATGGGATTTAGCCTAATGGAAAGGGCCTTGACTTGCAGACCAGTGATCTAAGGTTCGAACCTTCATGGACGAGAAAACCACCCCTCTCCCAATATCGCTTGTATTAAAAAAAAATATTAATTTTAATTGGATTTTGGTTTGGATAGGAGGTGGGTTTTATGATGTTGAAAATCGATTAAAACAGAATCAATTCAAATTTTTTCCACTGATTCTATTGGTTCTAAAGCAAGTTACAATAAATTGTTTATGTGTTTCAATTGTAGTGAATTTTGGTTTTTTCTCTTCAATTTTTTTTTTTTGCTGCAATTTTTTTTTTTATATTGTTAATTAGCTATGTTGCAAGAAGTTTGTATATAGATCTTAGAGCACCTCCACCCCAAAAGGTAAGGCAAGACAAGGTTTGACTCTATTCACGTGAATAGTGGCAGCCTTGCCTTTTTTGGTTCCACCCCAAAGGGCAAGGGCAAGGGCAAATACTATTCATTTTACTTTATTTTCTATTTTTTTTATACTTAATTAATTTTGATAAGCTTTTTAGATAATATTTTCAGTTGCCACGTGTCACTATTTATTATAAAATTCTCACTTAAAATTTCAGATAACATTTTCGGGTAAAATTTTCAAATTAAATTTTCGGTTGCCATGTGTCCATATTTATTATAAAATTCACATCTCACTCATCATACAATTGAAATACCTACTCACTCATCATACAATTGAAATACTCCCGATCCTCATAGTCCGACATAATGGAGTACAAGAACGACTCAATTATTGGTAGAGGCGGTTCCACCGGATCACAACGTGGGGGAATATTATCCTTCGGAGGACGTAACAGTGCCATTATTTCATACACGGAACGCACCACTGGAACCGACTACGGGCATTGTTCACTTGAGGAGCCATGTGTAATGGTTTTCCTCTTTTTTATTTTGCCTTGAATAATTTATTAAAAAAATGAAATTGGAAATGCAAGAAATATTTTTTTTTTTAAATGACATTAAATTGAATAAAACGGAAATTTTTTTTTTTACCTCGTCGCCAAGATTTTGACCTCTTCGAATGTTTGTCCACGACCCTCCGGCTTCGATGGTAGAGGCCATTTGTATTTTTGCACAAATGGAATTTTGTAGTAGAAAATTTGGTGTGAAAAGTGAAAAATATTGGAAGGAGATGAGTTTGTATGAAGATTTAGTGTGGAAAGTGAATAAAATTGTCAGGTATTTATAGGGAGAAAATCCAGAATTTTTGGGTACTTTTTTTAAAAAATTTGAATTTTTTTTTTCGAATTTTTTTGCAATTTTTTTACCCAAAAAAATCAAGATTGTCGGATTTCTGGAAAAAATTACATCGGAGCATCCGGGAAGTGCCACGTGGCGTATTCCCATTGGGGCCTGTTAGCGGTGACGTCAACGAGCGTAAATCAAATTTTTTTTACT